TTTTTGAGTCAATATATGCATTTTTGTATCTTAAATAATTTAGTTTTTAAAAGGAATCTAACATCAAACAAATTGCCATTTACATTTTACTTTTTGCAAGATTTAATATTCAATAATAAAATATTCAAAGATAAATAAAAAGCCATAAATTACACTTTTTATTTATTTTTTCCATTTAAATGTTAAGAAATAGCAACAACAAATCAATAAATCAACATAAATCATGCATTTATTAATACTAAAATAATTTACTTGTGGCCGATTTCACAGTAGAGGAATCACAATTTTCCAGAAATTCAATCTGTGTATTGGTAAACCCCACAAACAGTGGATGATTAGTTCTTATCAACAAACAAATAATACCCTGGACCTCAGGGAAGAACAGTGTAAAAATACTGAGTATCCAGAATAAAGAAAGATTTCTAACAAACAAATCAAATATTCGATCATACCTTTCTTAAACATATTTGAAAATGTCTGATGGTTCTCGGCGAACCAGATGACACAGTAAATACTAAGCTCCGCCTCCTCCTCATCTGTGTTCTGATATCAACAAAATAGAAAAAAAAGAGTTTAACAAGTCGAGTTTAACAAGTCATCTATTAGGTGTTCCAGATACTCTTTACAATTTATTATTATAATTAATATTGAGACAAAGGAAGTTTCTTCTTGCTCAAAAAATGAAAAAATATGTTAATAACTATTGTTATAATTTTAAATGCGCCCAGAAATGTTCATATTGCTTTTTATTTATGTTGGTACAACACCTACAATTGACTTGATATTAAAATACATTATAAATAAACAAATTAAATAAATGCATTTCAAATTAAAAAAAAATAATAATGAAAAAAACTGAACGTAATAAAAAAATTCAGTGTAATCTCCTATTCTAGTTATTTCCTCACATCTTGTTCTGTTCTACTCTGCAGTTCTCTGCTTGTTGTATGATCCTCTTAAAGACTATCAAGGTTTGCAATATTCTTCCTAGAATTCAAAATGTTTGTTCATACTACTTGCTTCAAACTTTTTCATATGGTGGCGCTATTTTTAAATTGAGGTATTACTGTATTTCTTTTACATCCAACACCAAGTATCTCCCAAATACGGGATGGAATGATGCTTTGTAGACTTCATGAGAAAACCCTGTGATTGAACCCAGGACCTTTGGGATTGGAAGGTATGAATCTTAACCACCAAACAATTCAGAGGCAAATTAGTTGCACTATGTGGGTTTAGTACTAAAATGACCATTAGAAGTTCTATTGTAATTTTCATATTCTCAATTTTCGCAGTGTATGAATCATTTTTAACATGGATAGCAGCACACGTTAAAAGCTTATGAAAATATAACTGTAATTATTCCTGCTGTCGCTCCATGGCTTGAAAATTAAAAGTAGCCAGTAAAAAACTAGACATAAACTCCAAGCTTATGAATAAATATTGTGGTTGATTTTTATATAACAGCTTACCCTGCAATTCTTGTGGGATAATCTGACTCATAAGATGTTTGACGCTCCAACTGAAATTCAACAAAAATCTATTGATATTAATCACAATCATAATCATAATATTTAGGTTAGTAGAATATATGAACTATTTTTTGATAACCTAAAAATTCACAATGAATACTAAATTACAACTGAAGGATATTTATCCCAAGAAAATATGAATTAGCAAGAAAATTATTTGAGAAACTTTTGTAAACCAAATTTTTGGTTTACAATGAATGCAATGATACTTATAGCACCTATTCCATTAAGCAAATAATATATCTATTCAACATTATTTGATGCCAATTAATTTTAACATCTGAATGGCAATTCAATTTTAAGATCTTGTACTTTTCTTTTCGAATGACTAATTGATATGTATAATTTTGTTTTATTTTACAGTGTGTTTTATTTAATTGTATCTCATTTAATAGGTCTACAGTATATTATTTAGCGAAGGCATCCAATTATTACACTTCTATAAGTTAACAATAAAAATCATCATAGTCATATACTATACTGCATTTACAGGTCTTTAATTCATCTGTGTTTACCTTTCTTTACAATTTGATTTAATTTTTTTAAATTTTTTTTTTCTGGATGCACCAGCAGGTATCTGATATGTGCCACTGATATAAAAGTGAATCCAATAAATATTGTATTGTATTTGTAGTGAATGTATTTAACTATACAAAAAATAGTTTTTTTTTTTTTTTAATAATGCTAATTTAGAATTATGAGTCACAATAAACTTCGTAGAATTTTACAAATTATGTAGAAGTACCGGTAAGTAAATAATCAAATAGTGGGCAAATGGTAAAGCTGTGGTTTCCAATCAAAAGAATATGTGGCCCTTCTTTAATAGGTAAAACGATCTATCTTAAATTTTCTTTCTTGAGTTTGGGACTATGTGTTATAACTTAGAAGGCAAAGGGGAGCAAGCACAGACTTTAACATAAAAAATGCGCGCGAAGCGCGCGAAAAATGTTTGTTTTTTTAATTCTAATTTCGTCGGAATTGATCAAAACTCCCTAAAATGTGCAATTTTTAGAGGAAATTGGCCTACCTCAACAAAATATGCGATTTAAAATTTGAGATTTTCAGGCACTTTCCCGGG